ATTGGACGAGGCAGCCTTCACCGGGTGGCGTGACGACGACCGTGAAGAGGGAAACAAGCGAAAAGCGGTTGTGCAGACCACGCCCTGGTTCCAATGGCTGGAGACGGCAGACGAAGATGATGATGATGAGGAAGAGGACGATGACATAGAAGAGTTAAACAATATTTAATGTTTGGGAGGAATGCATTACTTGACAACTAGAAGGCACACATAGAAGGTCTGGACAAAAACGAAGTGAATCGCTATGTCTGCTTAACAATACTTGCGACAAAGTCAAAGCCTAGAGGCGACGGTGGAGCAAAGATAGATGGATGCGGACGAGAAAGAAGTTAGACCACAACAGCCTCTACGTTTCAATTTTAGCCGCATGTTGCTAAGACGTCGTCCACAACGGTGATCTGGATTAAGATTTAGAGCTGAGAAAAGGCATCAATATGGAACGGGCAAATCAAGCAACGAATGAAGAATTGGCTGCTAACATTTATGAGCTCTCATCAATTGTTTTCTTTGTAGAAACCGCAAGGCAATGAAGGAAGGAAATAGGAATTGCAGTCTCCGCAAGGAATTATTCGCAGCGGGTCCGAGATGCCTTTCAGAAGCAAGCCTTAAATAGATCAAGCCGTGTTAAATGTCGAATCATATGCTCCAGCTTCTAAAATAAACGCGGTGTTTAAAATATCAACGCACGTGTGTGGGGAAAATGTGCCTGCGTTTGCTGATGTGAAGGGGAAAGGAGATGGTAACGGCTTTTTAAATTTTTTCCTCGCGTAGTTCTCGTCTCACTCAACAAGCCCATCTGTGAATGTTGTTTATTCGCCAGGCCTCTGGCAGCCAGAGCCCATCAGCTCGCACCGGCAACAAAGAAATGGTGACTGATCTCGAACATATTTCTCGTCAGGTGTCGCAGCCATAGTGTCTGGTGGTCGTCGCCGTAGAAAAGAAGGGCGTCCTTACTTCATGGCAGCCGCAGTGATGTCATCACGAATGCCTGGTCTGATGCTCGTTTTGAGTATATTTTCCACTTTTATGTTGCAAGAGCATCTGTTCAGTCTCGCTGAGGAACAAGGTGACACAATGAAGCAGATGGCTGCAGAGTTCGATGGGCACTACGAAAATCAGACGCTGACTCGAGTAGCATTTGGCTCTTGCAACAAACAGGTAAGCCTCTATTGATTTTCATTCTAGTACACAGTAAGCAATTTAGAACAAAATGATTTGAGAAAGCAAATTTCTTCCACTGACAAGCGTAACGACTGTGCGGAATCAATTGTCTTGTGAGCAATCACCTGGTACGCAAGATGCAGCGATGCATCACGACCTTCTCTCTTCGTGATTGGCATTCCACATTGATACACCTTGATTCTTCATTTATACAGTGGCGGACCAATGTTTTATGGGACAATATTGTGGACTTCCATCCTCAAGCGTATCTGTGGCTGGGTGACGCCGTGTACGTCAAAGAAAAGGAAGGTGACAATGACGCCAACCTTCGGAGAGCCTACTCCCGCCAGCTGAAAAATAAAGGCTACCAACGACTGCTGAGCTCGGGTGCAATAGTCGAAGGCGTATATGATGATCATGACATGTCTACGAATGATGGCCATAAAGTGGTGCGTGTCCAGAGGAACAATGAGATGTTTGTACCAGTGTTCCGAAAAGGATCGACTTCTCACTCCCTCCCATCGATTTCTCGCATTTTTTCCTCTAGAATTATACCCCTCAACGCCAGAGTGCTTATTTAGACTTCCTTGGACATATTTCTGAAGATTCTCCCAGACGATCTCGGTTGGGATTGTTTTCCGCTCACGTCTTTGGAGAGCCACCGCGCCAAGTTAAAATCATTTTCCTGGACGTCCGCTCCTTGAGCGACGAGCCAGCCATTGTGGTACCAGAGTGTGTAGCTAATCTTTTATGGCCTGTGAAGCCCTATCTTTTAGCGCTTACGCGATGGGCTGCCGTCCTCCTGGGCATCACCGGACGCTTTCACGGCGACATGCTGGGGACCGAGCAGTGGTCATGGCTGGAGGCACAACTGGCAGGCTCAGAGGCCTCTTTTCACGTCCTTGTCTCTACCGTTCAGGTCTTATCTGTGAATCCCATTGCGGAGGGGTGGGGCCACTACCCGGCCGCACAAAGTCGGTTGCTTGCACTTTTGCGGAAGCATCGGCCCCGCGGATTGGTTATCCTCTCCGGGGATGTACACTTTGCAGAACTTCTCGTGACGCAACCACCTAGTGAAGGGATGAGAGAAGAGGAGAAGGAGGGGAAGAAGGAGGCCCTGGAGGTAACAAGCAGCGGAATGACCCATACGTGCTTCGCCACCACCATGGGTACGTGTGAGATGGCGGTGGATCGCTACGATCGACACCGTTTGACACCTTCCAGTTTTTTCGGGGGCCTTAATTATGGAACCATTGAGCTAGACTGGGAGCAACAAGAAGCCTGGGTTAGAGTGCGGAACAAACGTGGGGAAGCTGTTCTTCAAACTTTCCGTCGGCTTGATGGAAGCTCTCCGGGCGCCTATTTAGGTGAACCATGGTCTATTAATGAGAACAATGATCTCAGCTTCTTTATATTCGCTTTCCTGTGTGTTGTCTCACTCGCCAGTGGAGTGCTATGGGTCTTCAGGTGGTTGTTGAAACGCCATTGCAGTAAGGACGAGGGAAGAGACAGAAAGATTAGACAGGCAAAAAAGGAGGCATAATCGAAAGCCACACCTACTCAAAAGCTGGGCTTTGTACAGTTGTCGCGCCAAACCGTGAAGAAAGAACAGAAAGAAAAGGATCCACGCAACATCGGGTCTAACCTCGTTGTCCCTCTGGAAGAAGAAAATTTTATTTTTCAGTTGTTTCTCCCACCGCTATCTTTTTAAAAGGCACGCGTGAATAAGTTTGTATACAGTGCGTTGCGACAAATGCCCCCCCTCTACACGTTTAGGTTCCAAGAAAGCACTTTGACATGGATAACCCGGGGGCTTTTAAAATTTCAAATAACGGTTTCCTCGGTTTTTGTTCGCATCCTCCGGCCTCCGCCCTCTACCTCTTCCCTCACTCGAGTCCCTTTCAGGACGTGGATTGCGTCCCCGGAATGTCGTCAATGGTTATAATCTTTTTTTGAGAATGATAAATAGATGCATCATTTTATTTGTTCGTGCGGTTTTCATGAAGCAGTTGGTAGATTTTTCTTGAGAAGGCCCGCTCGACTACTGACTGTTCCCTGGTCTTCGACGTGACAAACCCCGTGAATGATCCCTTGTGCACAAGACCCCGACCATGGCCTCCCCGAGGATGCATGAGCACTTTAGTTGCACCCCCCCCCCTTAATGCACATCATAGACACTGATTTAAAGCACGATTAAGCTCAGGGGAAAAGTATAAACCGCGCTTGAAATATCGTGCAGTTGTATGGGCCGCGGTCTGGATTCATGCCCTGTTCGCCTCATCCCTCTCGAAGTTCTCCGCTGATTGTTTTTGCGTCAGTACTCACAAACCATACATACCTTATGCCTACAAATACATTCGCAGGAAATTTGTTGTCCTTCCAATCGGTTTTTTGGGGTTGTTTCTCATTACACGGACACCGAGTTTCTTGTATTGCCGTCTATCTACTTTCTTCCAAATGGACGTCACTAGCTCCAAAGGCAGCCAGCTTCCTCGTCGGTATAAATGCAAATATGAAGGATGCGGGAAAGCATTTACCAAGGTACGCCTGCGAATATTTCTTCTTGGACAGCCAGAGGTGGGACATGCGACGCGCGATTGACCTCCATCGTTGCTTTGAGACTATGAATAGAGCCGCACTCACACCTAATCTTCACTGTCGCCCTGATCCTACACTCGCTATCCCTTGAACAGTCCTCGAATCTTGTACAGCACGTCCGAATACACACAGGCGAGCGTCCTTTTCCATGCAAGTACCCCGGATGTGGCAAAAATTTCCGGCAAAGTGGAAATCTGACCAAACACATGCGCTCCCACGAGCATTCCCACCTTCGCTGGAAACGCAATACGAAAGACAAGCCTTTTCGATGCACGTACATAGGCTGCGAGAAGTCCTTTACTGCCAAGAGCTCCCTCAAGATCCATATAGCGCAGCATGAGGAGGTAATGGGGGAGCCGGGAGCCCCCGCGATGGGGACACCCACGCGCCCCAGCCTGCCTCAAGGCCACCACTTGGCGAGAACGACGGGGGACGGGGGCATGCCGGGTTCGGGCCGGGTCGGGGTCACGGGTGGACAAGACCTTCACGGCGTGGCCCAGCAGCACTACCCTCGACAGCACCAAGTGTCTTCGGCTGTCACTGCCTACCATGGTTCCCACACGATGCCCACCTCCCGCCCGCCGGTTATGTGCCACCACGGAGGGTGCAAAGCCGTGTTTCCTTCCGCGCATGCCCTCATGCACCACACGCTGCTAAGCTGTCCGGTCCTGTTGGCGGATCACGAGCACATCCGTCGCTTGCTCAAGGAGGCCGTCCATCTTCTCTCGGATCACTGCCTCAACACCCCCGCCATTGCTCATTTTGTGCAGAGAGCCCAGGAGGTTGATTCCCGACATAGGGCGGCCGCTCGTCAAGTACAGCAGAAGCAGCAGCAGCAGCAGCAGGCAGGGGCAATATTGGCCGAGGAGGATGACGAGGAAGAGGAGGACGAGGACGAAGAGGACGACGACGGGGAGGAAATGGAGGATGGGGACGAGGAAGGGGCGGAGAGCGACCAGTCGCCGCGCCACCCGCGCGAGCACGGCCAAGCCAACAAGCAGGTCCACCATCCAGAGCACAGGGATGGGTACGCGGGTCCTCGTCACCAACACCAGGCCCATGCCCCGCGGGCGGGGGCGGGCAGCCACATGCAATGGGAACGAGCGGGGAGTCAGCAGCAGCAGCTCAGCCACAAGCAGCAGCATCCACACCGGCTAGCCCTGCCATTGACCGTTACCACGCCTGGGTCGTACTCCCAGCCGCAGGGCACCAGAACGGAGCTAACCTTGCATCCGACGGGCAGCGCCCCGGACTTGGGGGTGATCAAGGCAGACATGACGGACGACATGGGGGTTGGCTTCTCCTTCACCATGACACCGCATGGGACCTTGACGGGGAGCAGCCGATTCAACGGCTTCGAGAACGCGGATGCCCAGCCTTCCCTGCTGACGCCGGGGGCCAATAGCCTCATGTCTCCTAGCTTGGCCTTCGACTTTCCCTCCTCGACAAACGAGGCCACCACAGAAGGGATGCCTCCGCAGGCACTGGCTATCTTTTCTCCGAGCCAGGGGGCCTTTGTCTTTCCGGAACGGTATTGAGTTCGAGGGGAGCTACAAAGAGATGGGGGCGAAAGAGGGCATACAGGGAAAAGCAGACGACAGGGATCGCGTCTTCGGGGCATTTATTTTAGGATAAGGAAATTCACGAAAGAATGGGTTGCGCTGTGAGGAGGCTGAAAAGGGAGTCAGACGTGGAAATTGATGAGTACATAAAGTACAGTCAGACATTGGCCACGAAATAGAGGTGGAGCGAAGGACCTGAATGTGGATGGATGCCTCTACCTCGGAGAGCGCCGCGCATCCACGCGTGGCCGGGAGATCAATGAAAAATTTTTGAAGGATGTGGTGATCAGATTTAAATAAGGCTTTCGCCTGGTGTACTTCTTACGGTCGTAATTTCCTGTAATCTTAGGAGTAAGAGCATGGTGGAGACGACGAGGGCGCATTGTTTGATTTTGGAAAACGGCGAGGGATTTGCCACAAGCTGACGTGGACAAGGGCCACGGTAAATATTGGGGATGGTGATGATGATGATGATGGGGAGGTTTCTATCTTTTCGAAAGAACTTGGTCGGTGTGGTTGGCCAAAAGCGGCATGAAGCCTACAGGTGTGTTCCCGTGAAACCCGCAGGAAAAAGCGCACACTAGCAAATCGGGCGGGACGTGAAATGGGGGGAAAAGAGCTAAAAGGGACACGCGAAACGGACCATTGTGTCTCATATTGAAAACTTGATGTTATAACTAGCTTAAGACTACTGAGCGGAGTAATATGTTCTTCAGAGCCCCTTTTCTTTTTAAAGCTTAGCCAAAAAGTTGAGAAGATTCTCACAGGGCAAGAGCAATTTTAGCTTTCACACGTTCTAATCTATACCCCAACAACCATCTCACCCCGCATCTCTCTTTTAGAAATATGTGCCTGATAGTGGTTGCCATGCTCCCACTCACATTCCGAATCCCCCCAGATCACTCCCTATGTGATACACCACCTCGTCTAGAAGCGCGGTGTTCACCCGCCGAGAATCTTTCGGAACGTGGTCCTGCCCCTGAACGCAAAGAGAGTCAATGAAATGAGGACTCGCATCGCGCAACGAAGGCGCACGGCTCGTCGAAAACTTTCTGACCTTGTCAAAGATCTAGAACCGCCATGGCTATGGCATGTCACGTCACTCTCTAATCAAAAGCACGCGTGCTATTGATTCCCACATGGGCCGGGGGTAGTACGTGGCCCTTGTCAAGGCGCGGGCGCGCTCGCTCAGGGAGGTCAGGGGCCTGGACTGTCAGCTGAGAGGCGACAGAATGGGTGAACAGAGACGCCCGGAAGTAGTTCGTGCTGAATCACGCTCTATAGTTTGCGCTTACTTCCCACATTTCACGGTTTTTGGCCGCTGTACAGCAATATTGCAAGGAAGTGGGCATTGCTTTGGCCACGAGCAGAGCATGCACAAGCGAGAGGTGGATGAATCCCCGACACTGCTCGACCAGGGCCGCAATTTTCATTAGTCTTTGCCGCTGCACACGCCTCTTCGCTTGTAAATAGCTCATTCTAGCACTTGAAGGAAAACAAAAGCCAAGAATGAGCGCGACATTTCCAGTCATCCTTTCAACTGGTGCCGGCGGCCAAGATGGCAGTTGTCCTTCTCCCCCGCCCGCATCTGCTCCTTCCTCCACAGACAGGTATGTAAGCCGAAGTAAAAGTTTATTAAAGTCATTGTGTTTGAATGTCATAGAATATGTGCTCGGCGCTCCAATTATCCGTTGGGCTGATTGTGTTCAACTCAAACCTTTTCGCATTACTAAAGATACGCTTGCGCCGAGCAGCATCCTCATAACAAGACATGTATCACCCTCATGCCAACCGACAACACACCGCGCATACCATCACTCTTCACAACACCACAGAATTTCGAATGCGCCTGCTATTACTTCTCCCGTTACGGTACTTGAGACTATCACTGAGAAGACAAATGGAAATGCGCCCTTGGACAGCGTGCTGGAAGGCCTCCTCTCCCTCCGCTCCCCCGCGTTGCCTCTCATGCCGGGGCCCATGGTTATTTTACGGTGCGGAAATATGGAGCAAGTCACCGTACCTATGACAAATTCAAGTGGCAATGGTGGCGTGGAGGAAAGTGGAGGTCCTGTCTCGGCGTCCGCCCCGATCCTCATGACCACTGCTCCTGCTGATGCCGGCCTGGCTCAAGCCTTTCGCCAGAGCGACGCGACCACGGCCGATAGTGATCAGAACTTTTATCTGTCCAAGGACCCCTCTATTCTTGCTGCACCATTTCCTCCTCCTTTTCCACCTCCGCTTTCTCCGCCACCATCGCCCTTACCCACGGCTAGCTTCCCACGACCAGCCCTCCCGCGTCAAACTCAGCCTACCTTCCTTCCCCATCCAGAGCCCGCAAGCCCCATGCAAATCACGGTGCTACCCAGCCGTAATATGAAACGGACCAACGCAGACGTGGAGGACCCGTCTCCCTCCCCGCGTCCTCCTCCTCATTTTCCTTTCTTCTCCTCCCCTCCTCCCCGACTTCCTCCCTTTTCCGCCACACCACATTCCCACTTTTATGGGCATTTAATCGCCCCTGACAATGCCGCCTTTATGACTCATGCGGCTGCCGGCGCCGCTGAAAGCGGCAAGATACAGGCAGAGAAGCTCCTGGTTTCGATCCCGACTGAATCCCTGGACCCGTCCTCCGTGATCGCCTCCGACCCCGCCCAGGCCCGGCGCCTGGCCCTCACGGCTGCACGAGCGGCCTCGATCTCGACAAGTCTACGAGAGAGCGGGGGAGAGGAAGGGGAGGAAGGGGAGGAGGCTGGCTCACGTCAAATCATCAACCAGCAGGTTGCCTTAGTGCCCTCCCAGACTTCCACCATCTTGAGCCAAAACCAGGAATCTCGCGTTAAAAACCTGGAGAAAATCCCCCCCGAAGCTGTTCGAGCCTTGGAGGCCACGTTGTCGGCCATTCCCGCCTGGGGGGTGAGGATTACGAAGGAGAAGCTGGAGGCTTTGGGGGGAAGGGTGCTGGGCTCGCCGGTGCTCATGGAGGGGGAGCGGTCAGAGCAGGTGGTCGACTACGCCCCCAAGAACTATCACATCCAGTGTCGACATTGCGGAAAGAACTTCCTGGGGAAGAACGCATTGAGGTGAGGGGGGAG